CGCTTCTGCACTAGACTTCTCCAGGGAGTATTTTTTTACAGGGAGTATTTCAATCCCAAAATGAGGAACCTAGACTCTGGTCTTAGATGATCTCTAAGATTCTTTTCAATTATGAGAGTTCTTAGGACCAATGAAGTCAAATCATTGAAAGTTATTCTACCTTCCAGGCCTCCGCCTGGGAGCCCTGAGTATCTGTGCATACATCTCCAGGATGCATATGCCTGAAAGGGGATCTAGGAGGGTGCCCCCTAAACTGTTTGTCATGGCTTCCCAGCAAGATGGGGATAAGGAGGAAATCTCATCTTGTATTTACACATCTCTCTGTATGAATCTTTCAACAAGAATATGCCATTATCATCAAAAACAACGTAAAGGCAAAAATTTAAGTGGTTTGTAGTTAGGTTACCAGTTATTCATGTGTAAATGGGTATTTCTAAGGGAGGGATCTTGAGAGCGCTGGGACAGCTTGTTTCTGCGTAGTTGAACCATCTCTGGTTTAGCCTTCCTCATTCCACCCGGGAAGATGCAGTAGCTTGCAAAGGGAATCCTCATCCCAGAGCAAGACATTCAAAAAGACTTAGTTGCTATGCTCACATATCTAAAGTGCCTTCTGGGAAAGAGGAGCAGACCTCTTGCTGACTCACAGCAGTTACTAGCGGCAGGAAAATCGACAGGGGTGGAGTCCGAGCCCAGCACCCAGTTGGTAAACAGTGAAGCTGTCTTCCTAGAATCTGGGGTATTGTTGCCATGGAAAAACCCTCTTGGTTTTTATGTATTTATTTTGTATCTGCCACACTTCACTGAACGTTTTAATGTTTCTAATAGTTTTTCAGTTGATTTCCATGATATCTGCAGGCGGACATTCTGCATCCTTCTTAACAATATTATGCTTCATTTTATTTTCTTGTCCAAGTGAATGTTCAGAACATTAAATAATAGCAATTTAAAAACATAGTCTTTTGTGTTCATGTTAGGACATTAAATATTTCTTTTACTTTGTGTGGACTGCTGCTTGTGCTTTAGTATTAATGCACCTCTTCCTATGTAAGCAGAGATCCCTATCTCCTCAGAAGAGGTATAAGGATTCTTCTGTTCAATTTTATATTTGTATTAAAGATTTATATGCATTGGCATATTGGTGCCATTATTCCAAAACGTATTCACATGTTATTGCAGGTTAGAGAAGTTTTGAAGTTTTTGGTGAAGTTTATTTTAAAACTGTCTTAGTTTCTATTTCCTTTCATAGGAAAACCAACATTAAAAATCCTGATTGGTGGAAGTGGTGTGTCATAATTTTCTTAATTCCTTATCTGTATGAGTAACACATTTTATCCTGACATCACAATAGGCCCGTTTTGTTGAGCACTTCATACGTGCCAGGCATTGTACTAGGCATTCTATATCATTAAGCTTCATAACAGGTCATTAAAGTATTTTAATTTTGCAGGTGAGAAAATGGAAGCTTAAACTGTTTTAAATTTGCCCGAGGTCACATAGCCAGCAAATGCCTGGGCTGTATTTTCCCAAGTCTAACTTTAGAGCTTTTGTTATTTTTTCTTAACAACCTCTGCCTGAATGACTAGCCTTATACCCTTACACCAAGAGGTGTGCCTTTTTATTCAAGAAGTACCTTTTAGAAGAATGGCCACTATTGAGCTTGAAAAACTCTGGCAATACCCCATATTTTGGATTGGTCAAAAGGAGGGCTCCTGTGGCCCGAGTTTAGATTCCCTTAAGTCCTTCAGCAGAATAGAGGCACTTCATCCAGTCTGGGGCACCAGATTCCTGGTGCCTCTGTCTAGGGCAGCACGGTGCTCTGGGGCTCAGAGCATCGAATATTTGAATCCCCAATCTCTCACGGTTTTGAGACCTTTGATGAGGCTCACATTTCTCCCAGGGTTCTGGCCCATCCACCATTAGTCATACATTTCAGATGTTTGGTGCGCCACAGGCTTACGCGTCCTGACACATGGCACTGCAGAGGGCAGAGCTTCACATGGGAGGTGGCGTGCTTGCAGCTATCCCTAGAGCCTGCATTTTGGGACTCTGGTTGGTATATTGGGTGCATCTGAAGATGTTACAGATAATCGTAGACCACCTGCTGTCTTTCTCGGAACTTGGGAAGGGATTTGTTGAGTTTGGGAGTCACCCAGGACTTAGAGAATATGATTGAGAAAGAACCTACTTTCTTACCCCCTTGGCTAGAATCTGCCGGGGCTGTGCTCCCAGCGATTATGTGGAAGCTGGAGCTGCCCTGGTGTCTTCTGTTCCATCTGCATAGACTAGGTGGGTGCAGAAGCAGATACACATGATTGAGAATGCAGAAATAAGAGCTTCCAGTTGGACCAGCCTCAGAAGGCCTTACTGTTTCTCTCCACACTAAGAGGACTTACAAGGGAGCTGAAATGTGATCGCCAGGGATTATTTGTGAGGAAGCAGCCCGAGCTACTTGATTCTTAGTGCTAAAATGGGCTCTAAGCCTTGTTTCCTTTTTGGTATTGGATTAGAAAAATGTAGGGCAGGATTAGAATTGGCTCCTCTAACAGTACCCAGGACAAATATATGCCCTGAGAACTACAGACAGGAAGGGTTGGCCCAGATTTATAACTCCAGCGGAGTCACGCTTCCAAGCTCCAGCTCCCTCCAGCCCCCTCCTGTGCGTCTCCCTCCGATGGCTGAGCCCTCTCAGTCATCAGTCACAGGGGACTCTTGGTGTCCTGCAAATCACTTCTCCTCCCTCTAAATTTTTTCTCTCTCCCACTCTCCAGATGTCTCTATATTGGTTTCTTTGCCTGAGCCAAAAACCTAGGCATTATCTATGTTTCTTTTCTTTCCCCCCATATCCAGTTGAGCAGCTCAGCCCTGTTGGTTTTACTTCCAAAATTTACATCACATCCACTTGCTGCCATCTCCACTGATGGTTGGACGATTGCAAAGGCCTTCTCACCTCACTCCCTGCTTCTGTCCTCGCCCTCTCCAGTCTACTCTTTACAGCACTCAGATTACGTCCCTACCTCCTGTGGCTTTCCAGTGCCCTTCAGGTAAAGGCCCCCTCCCTCTCCAGCCTCTGTATGACCTGGCCTCCAACCTGGTCTTGCAAGGTGTCAAGCTCTCTTCTCCTTTCTCCACCCTAAGCCTGGGCGCCTGCTCCTTTTTTCCCAGCCTCTGAATGGCTGGTTTTCCTTGCCAGGCCCGCTTCCTCAGGGAGGCCTGGCCTGATGCCCTTTTAAAGGAAACTGTCCACACCTGTTTGTTTCTATCACAGCCCTTATCTATTCACCTCAGAGTACTTAAAAGAAGCTGCAGTTGTTTTTATTCAGCTTCCGCTCCCTTTGCTAGGGTGTAAGCCACACCGGAGCAGTACTGTGTCTTTTGTTGTTTGTTCCTGGTGCTGGGTCCAGTGATGGGCAAATGCGTTACTCAACAGGAAAGAAAATGAAAGAGCGAATGAATGAACAGATACATTCCCATATCATTGTTTCTTATGGGTGCATAGTATTCCATTGTGCAAGCTTGACCTAATTGACTGAACCACTGCCCTTTTATTGGCTATATTTGTCGCCAATTTTCCACCACATCTGAAACATGAGAAATAATCTAAATGGCTATTGGGACAGTTGTTGACCAAATTGGGGACAATTTTGCAGGCTTCAAATTCGTAGGGAGCATTTTTATTAACATGGGGAAATGAGTTTGTTGATGAAAAAAATACAAAATTTTATATACAGCATGATCTTAACAGTTAAGAACTCTGGTAAAAGTGCAAAGAAACGCTAGTAGGAAATAAACTAAGTGTTAATTATGCATTTGAAGTTGGCAGGATTACAGATGATTTTTCTCTGTATACAAGTCATACATGGTATTCTTTATACTTTATGTATTTTCCAAGCTTACTACAGTTGAGTGTGTGTGTGTTTATGATCCAATAAAAAGTTCTTTAAAATTTAAGAATACTTTTATGATACATCAGATGATTGAAGATAGTCAAAAAGCAGAGCTAGGAATGATTGTGCTCTCTAGAAAGTCACCTACATGTTTGACACACACTTGCTAATGACAACTCCTAGCCTGTGAGTCCTCACAGGTCTGTGTATTACCTGGGTTTAGAAAGAGTAGCAAAAGTGGTATTTCCCATGAAAGCTCCATGGCCAGGACTCTTGTGTAGTATGGCATTATAGAAACGGGGGGTTCATCAATCAAAGTGGTGATTTTGGGGTGAGAGCATCCCACAGATGTGCTCGGGGTTAGAAAGCCATCACAATAGCTCTTCACATGTTTTTGTAGCTTGAGGGGCCTCGTGGCTGGGGCATTATCAAACCCTTCATTTACTCAAGGCGGTGGTCCTCACACCCAAGAGCCTTTTGGGAGTCCATGAGGTTACAGCTATCTTCACAGTAAGGCTAAGATGTTACTTGCCTTTTTCACTCTTAGTCTCTCACAAGTGCACGGTGGAGTTTTCCAGATGCTGTGTGATTTGTAACAAGTTGCAGAAGCAGATAGGAGAATCCAGCTGTCTTTTATGAAGCCAGACTTTGGAGTTGTAAAAAATGTAAAAAAAAAAAAAAATCAGTATTCTCATTAAAATGTTTTTATTGTGGAAAATTTAATTACATGTCAATAAATGTTATGTTTGCTATGTAATGGGTTTATTTTAAATGAATAAGTATTTAAAAGTTTTTCAGCTTAATTTCTAATATCATAAGTATCAATAGATATTTACCCACATAAGCAAATAGTCTTTGGGGGCCTCAATCTTTAAGAGTGTAAAGGAGTCCTGAGACCCAGAAAGTTTGAGAACCACCAAATCAAAGAAACAAGAATAGAACTCTCTTTATGGTGGACTGATGATGGCTCAGTAAATGGATGGGTTGAATTTCGTGAGAAAGAGCACAAAGCCTGTGGGGGAAAATGACCTAGTCTAAGAGGCAGGTGTTGGAAGTCCTTGACAGTCATTAAGTTTTCCTTTTCCTTCCTTCCCTCCCTCCTCTCTCCTTTTTTAGAGATCATGCATGATGTGATAAAGAAGGTAAAGAAGAAGGGGGAGTGGAAGGTAAGTAGAAGATATAATTAAGGGCCTTAAAGGTGAGTTCATGTGGAAAAAATAGGAATGGGGGGTAGAGCTGGTGGGGAAGGGCTGACGGGTTGGGAATGAGGGCGTTACTGTGTATCCAGAGAGTACAAAAACGGTAATCTGTGCCTCTCATTTTATATGATCCAGTTGATAACTCTCTTCATCATAAAGCTTATCTTAAAGATCGCCTAGGGGGGCACTTTAGCAGTGGGACTCTTGTATTCAGTCTTACCTGGAACCTGTTCTATAAAGCAGAAGTGAAAATACTCTGCTCTGGGAGAGGAAGAGGGGGACCCTTCCTGCCCCTCTGGGGGCCTTAAAGTATCTTTATGGAGCCCACATAAGTTGGAAAAGCCTCATCTGGTCTATCCCCATCTCTAAGTGCTTAAGACTGAAGAAGTAAGCTTGTTTATTCACAGAACATTGACAGCAGCGCTGAAACTCTAGTGTATACGAGGCAAGTGTGTAAGCTAATCAGGTTGATTCCGGCCTCAGTTCCTGGAACAGGTGGTGCGGGTGGGAAAGCGAGCCATCCTACATTCGGGAAGTCGGGGTTTCCAGGGTCACTTGGTGTCTGGGGCCAGGCATTACGCTGGCCAGGCGAGCGTGCAGTTTTGCTCCAACTTCCCTGTGTGGTGTTGAAGGGTTCATACCACCATTCGTGCTCCTGAGTGTTCCTGCAGTCAGGTGCCCACACACTTTCAAGTTTCCTGCGCCCGAGAACAGCCGAGCTGATGGGTGCAGGAAGACTTTCAAATCTCACCCCTGGCCTTGCGAGAGTATGATTTAGCCCTTGCACTCATCTAGCCCCATCAGTAATGGACTCGGGGACATGTAAATTTTAAACTAATCTTGAGCAAGCAGCCCATCAGAGGAAAAGTACTTTGCTCTTACCATAGCCGGAAGCTGGTCCACGTGTGTCTTGCTCCTGCTACCTTGGCTTCTATCATTAAGGAAGACACATAGCCTGGGTTAGCTGCTGGCTTGCCCTCTCCATTGTGGGCTGAACGGAGATAGGAGTGGTTAGCTGAAGAGCTTCAGATATGAAGCTTTTAGACCAGGACTGGCGTGTCCTTGTTGTTCCAGTCTGGAGTGCGGGAGGGTGCCCTCCCAGACGACACTGTGCCGGTACACTCTGGCGATGACTGCGGCGAAGTCCTTGCCGTCCACATCGTGTGTGGCCCTAGTGTTCATTCTCCTTCCAATAAAAAGTTAAGCTCTGACAAAATACTCCCCAGTATGGTTTTCTCTAAAAGTTGGTGCTGTAGATGATTCTTTTCTCCCTTTTTTTTTTTGCATTTTTTATGAGTACTTTATCATAGAAAATTAAAACATCAATTTTTTTAAGTCTTAAAGTTAAGTCATTGAGAACAAACTAATCCTAGGTTAGGTTTGGGTATGGGAGGTAAAAGCTAGTATGTATCTCAGCAAACTTCTGGCCCATAGGAATATCGGTGATTCGATACAGTTGACCTTTGAACAACACAGGTTTAAACTGCGTGGGTCCAATTTATGCAGATATTTTTCAATAAAGATACTGGTAAATTTTTTGGAAATTCATGATAATTTGGAAAAACATTTTCTTTTCTCTAGCTTATTTATTGTAAGAATATTATCTGTAAACATATACAAAATATATGTTAATCAACTGTTTATGTTATTGGTAAGGCTTCAGGTTAGCAGTGGGCTATTAGTAGTTAAGTCTTCGAGGAGTCAAAGTTACCCATGGGCTTTTGACTGTGTGGGGCTCAGTGGCCCTGTCTCCTGGGTTGTTCAAGAGTCAACTGTATTCTGCATTTCTGGGGCTCTTTTTGAACTTTGACCCCATAAGCGGATGAGGGAATCGTAGCAGATGCCATACAGTCTGTGAGCTGTTCTCTCTGTTTCCAGGTGCTGGTGGTCGATCAGCTGAGCATGAGGATGCTGTCCTCCTGCTGTAAGATGACGGACATCATGACCGAGGGCATCACAAGTGAGCAAGCTTTGTCTCTGCCCTTGAGGGGCACTCAGGTGTTCTCTCTGTGACAAACTTTCCTCCTCCCTAGTCATTATTCTCTCAACTTTAGATTCTTCCAACAACCTTGGTGGTAAGACGATAAGTTTCTGAGAGAAACCCACAGCTTGCTTGTCCATCACTGAATCCCTAGTACCTCACCCAATGTCAGATGCTTGTTAAAAGATGCCGAGAGGCAGGTGAAATCGAGGGAAAACAAGCAGGCCACCTAAGAGGCAAAAATGGGCAAAAGACCTGAATAGGCACTTAACAAAGGAAGAAACCCAGGTGACCAATAGATACGTAAAAAACTGCCCACCCACATTAGTGGTCAGAGAAATGCAGTTAAAACCAGAGTGCAAGCCTGCTCTACATTCACCAGATTGGAATGTTTAAACTCTGAAAATGCCAAGTGACAGGATATTAAAAAATGGGAATGCCTGTATGACAGAGGGTCAGTTGGTACAGTTACTTTGAACAACACTTGGCAGTGTCTAGTAGAGTTGAAGGCATACTTTAATATTTATACACAGTTCAAAACCAGGTAGACCTACACGGTACTGTTTTACAGTGCAGACCTAAGTAGTAAAACCAGAAAGAGAAGTGATCACACTTAAGTCAGGATGGTTCTCTTTGGAGGGGAGGGAGGAAATTGTGATGAGGGAGGAGAAGAGGGTGGGTGGAGAGGTAGTAGTCTTTGAAATAGCACTGATTGAAAAGCTGTCTCTTTTGAGGTATTACTTCAAACCAGGAAGTTAACCTTTGTGTTTCCTCCAAAAAAATGTTCAGTGGAACATACCAGTCGTAACGTATCTCCTAACTTATTCCCTTGGAGATAACTTTATATGATGTTGACTTACATACTGTTGCTATTCTTTGTCAGAATTACTACCAAACCACAATTATGGGAGGAAAAACAAGGAGGGTTGAGGTTTCACTAAACTAAATGAATTTAAAGATTTGTCCTTTATTCTAAGATTATGGTTTTCCTATTATATGTTGTTAAAATGTTTTTTAAATTATGAAATTACGATGATGATATATTGTAGATTTTCTTGTTGATTAAATTCTATGGGAAGTGTGTGTGTGTGTGTGTGTGTACATATATATATATATATATATTTTGGGGGTACAGTGACACTGTGGATATGATTTCTTCATTTTAAAAAATGCATTTCCAGAAGACAAGTAGTGATTCTACAACATCTTACTATGCTGATGGACAGTGACTGTAATGGGGTTTGTGGAGGGGACTTGGGATAGGAGAGAGCCTAGTAAACATAATGTTCTTCATGTAATTGTAGATTAATGATAACAACAACAAAAAAATGGATTTCCAAACCCAGCGTATCTGTCACCAGAACATAGGCCTCTAAATGGGAGTGTACAGTGATTGGTGTGACTCCTTGTCATCCAGTAATCCAAAACTAGGCTTGCCCCTGTTTTGAGCTTACAAAGTTGTTTGCATCACTCAATTCTTAAAACTATTTTTCTTTGTCAAAGCCAAAAAATACACAGAAGTTAAGGAGGAAAAAGCCAATGGGAACTAAGATTCTCCTGACCAAGAGGCACCAACGCCCCCCACTGTCCCCTCCCCGGGTTCATCACCCCAGGGGCAGCCGCTCTGCTCTTCCTTCTGGTTGTCTTTTTGATATTTCTAAATAAACGCTCTTCTCTCTTGATTCATCAATCTTAGATGTTTTCTATTAACGCCCTGTGGTAGATGAGGGTTCAGCTCACCCCCTACTGCATACAGATTCTTCCCTACCCCAACGCCGGGGTTTTAAAAAGTGGCAAAAGTGAAAAGTTAGCAACTCTAACATTTTTGGAGGGAAGTGTTGTTGGTCTGTGAAATTCAAAAATTACCATCACTGGTGAAGTAGATGGCTGAGAGCTTTTGGTATTAATTTGAACATTATTTGGGACAGAAAGTCTTTATAAGTGTAACAATGCATCATTCTAAAGTGATGCTTTAATTTGCTTCACTCACCTACAATCGAAGAACGGCACCATTCGATTGGGCTGCTTTCTGTGCTAGAGAACAGGACCGCATAGGTAACACATCCTAAGCTTTATTAGGCGGCTAGAAGATGATGATCCGAAAAGCGCTTTGCAGATGCAGTAGCTGACATATCATAGAAGAAACAAGCAAGCCAAATGCCCAGGGTTGGCTTTAATCACATGAAATCTTTAGTCTTTGAACTGCTGGGAGGGACGATATTATATAGAGGATATGGTTAGGATGTCTTCATTTGCTATACAGAGGAAAAGGATGTAAAAAACTACCCAATCGTTGATAAATAGACCCAGCATGGAAATTCTAAAGGAATTGGATGAGAAACAACTAAAAGAGGCAAAAGACTTCTTGACAGAACGAGGTAGCATTTTCCATGAGATAAGGAACTGATTTAAACTGAAATGGGAAGTGGGAATTAGCGTGATACGATTTTAGGTTTTCTAGCATCTTGAGCATTGTGGGGCCGTGGAATGTGGAAACTAAAAGAAGAGGGGAGAATGGTTCTTTTTCTCCCCGCTGTAGATGTGCATCTGCACCAATAAAGGTGACCTGTCTGTATCACTTTTTATTTATGATCACTGGTCTTTTCCATGATCGCTGTGGCTACTGTTCTGTTGTCTAGTTGTGGAAGACATCAACAAGCGCCGAGAGCCGCTCCCCAGCCTGGAGGCTGTGTATCTCATCACTCCATCTGAGAAGGTAAGTCCTCCCTGAAGGCTTTGGCTAAGGTCACGTGGGCTGGTTTGGTGTCCACGTGGCACTGAGTGTCTGACGTCTCCAGGTTAAGCACACACATAACACACTGCTCCGTTTAAACATGCAAGCCACAGGTGGGGAAGGAGGGCTCAGTGTAGGACAGAGGGCACACCGAGCTTTCTAGAACCCCTGTCCACAAAGCCAGGCCAGGTTGTTCTGCTTCCCCCTCTGCATTGCTGCTCTAGGTAGGAGACCCACTTCATCTAATTAGTGATCACCTCCAGAACTTTGGTATTTTATGCTTTTTGGTTTATTTCATCAATATCCAATGAGTGTTCACATTTCCCCGTCTTACCATTTTTGGAGGTTGGTTTAAATCAGCATCCAGACAAGGTCCACCTCCTTGCTTCTGGTTGATAGTTGTCTTAGATCTCTTAATCTGTCTAAATCTCCTGCAGTTTTCAATTCCCTTTCTTTCCCACTTTGAATACTGGCTCGCATACAAGTTTCCGTAGATGCAACTAAATGGCCAGCATTTCATCAGTATGACTCTCCTCGAAGGGTCTGACCAGCTTCCTATTTTGTGAGTCCCTTCATGGGATGCCAAGTCCTGATAGCCCCAAAGAATCATCACTGTCATTCTGGAATGAGCTAGGAGGGCTTCTGTTCATCTAAACTCTGAAATAATCCTAATCTTAAATCCTCAGAACTCAGTTACAGCCAAACGTGAGTTATAGATATGCATCAAAAATCTATTTGTGTAAGCAGCTTGATTTAACTCGTTCAGACATAGGTCCCATTTGCTTCTAGAACTGGATTCAGTTCTCTTCTTTTCTCCCCGCCACAGTCTGTCCACTCTCTCATCAGTGACTTTAAGGATCCCCCGACTGCTAAGTACCGGGCTGCACACGTCTTCTTCACCGACTGTGAGTACAGCTGTCTGCTGCCACCCGTCCTCCCAGGGTAGTGTCTCTGCACAGCAGGAACTGAAACCAAGCCAGATGAGCAGGGAAAGCGTGGGGTTTCTGATTTTTTATTTTCCCTTCAAAAGATAAATTGCATAAGAGACAAAAATAAACACATATAAAAACAATCCTACTCGGTCATGCTGTCCTTCCTGAGGAAAAATAGCACCTCGTCAAAGGATGAGAGGGTTGAATGCTGAGAATTTTCCAGCATTAGTCCTGATGTTTTGCTGGCTAGACTGCCAGATACCACTGTAAACTGGGGTGCATTTCCTCTGTTTCTCAGCTACCAAGGTATCCCAATCCAGTGGTCTTTGTATCAGAACTGGCATCATTGTCCTGGAATCTGTTTCCTTTTGTGGCAGTTTTGTACATGGAGCTTAGTATAGAAGCATCTTGCTGAGTCTTTGTTGATAACAAAGAGAGCGGAATAGCACTGGCTTGTGAAAGTGTGTACAAGAACTGCTCACCCAGTGTTCCTCCCTTTAGGGGAAACCCCACAAAACTCACCACTAGGGGATAAGAGAGGTGCTTGCAGAGAATAACGTTACACTGTTTGAATATGGGTGACGAACAGAGCAGGTCGACGGCGTTAGTAATAATAAACCAGTAACACATTTCTGGAAACCTGAAGCCACTTCTTTGACGCAGGACAGTCATTGGAAATCACAGCTCCCCCACCAAGCGGTCTCCTGTGCAGTTGAGTTCTTTAGAGGGTCTGGGAAAATACTTGCCTCGTATTCCCAGTGATTTTATTTTTCCTTATTTATTGCATTTTTCATAATCATGTTAGATCTGCACAGTTTGTTTTTATTACAAGCCTTTTCCTCATCCCTTTTAATCTTTTCCAGTTTTTTTCCTTCCTTTCTTTGCTATAGGAAATAGTTTTTGTTAGCTCTCAATATCTCCGTCTGTATTGCCACTTGTTTCTCTGTGTTGAGGGCATTATAGATGATTTTACATTCCTTTTATACCCTAGAAACGGTGGATATTTTAGGATGAGATGAACTGTCTGGTTGCCTTTTTAAAATCCTAATAAAGAACCCACTGGCCGTGTGCAGCTGCTGAAATGAACTGGCAGTTGGACAGGAGAACCTACTGTCTGTTGTCATTCTTGCAGCTTGTCCAGATGCGCTGTTTAATGAGCTGGTAAAATCTCGAGCAGCCAAAGTCATCAAAACTCTGACAGAAATCAACATTGCATTTCTCCCATATGAATCCCAGGTGAGGCCCATGGGGAGGTCACAGAAAGTCTGCTCCCTGGTTGTTCTATTAGGGACTCTGGCAAATTCTGAGAGGGTGGAGTAGGGGTGCAGTAAAAGAGTGGGGGAGGGAAGATAGCGCATTCTGGATCGCTAAATGGCATGTTGTCAGTGGAGGCTGATATAGTGGGAAACAGTATTCCCTAGGGGTCGGCCCGACGCCTTCATTTCACTCTCCAGTTTTCTCTGACCTTTCTTCAGCCATGGTGCCTTCCTTTGCGTACATTTCATCCTTGCTCACAGTGTTTGCTCCCATTGGCTGACTCTTTGAGTGACCAAAAGGTAGCCAATCCAAAAAGAGCGTGGAAGGAGAGGTGGGGACCAGACAACACCCATCTGCTGCAAAGGAGACTGTATTTATGTAGTGATAACCTTAGCTTGTCACGTGCAGAAAGAACAGATGGTAGCCTTCCTCATTAGCCCTTAACACTTCGAATGCCAAATGCTGATGCCGCTAAGCCTCTGCCCTTGGAGGAAAACAAAGTTGCCAACCAGTAAAGGTGAAGCTGATTGTAAGAGAATATACACATTTTATATCCTAGTATTTTCAGGTTTTTGTTAAAGTGTCTTCTCCCAGCAAACCAAGAAACAAAAATAGTAGGACTTGTATGCATTTTGTAGAGAAAAAAGATGGTCATGGCATATTGGGTCTTTATAGATTAGCTTCTAGACACCGAGGGTGACCTCTTGTTGGTTAGGAGCAATGGAAAAAATACTGTGGGAACATTTAGAGACAGACTCTGTCCCTTCTCACTTGACCAACCTGTTCTCAGCTCGAGGGCAAGAAATTTTTGTTTCTCTATGAGCCCTGTCACCACCTGGATTGAACAAAATCCAACTTCAACCATATAATATTTCATATATTTTTAAAAAGTAATTTTAAGAAACTTTCTTAAAACCCTCAGGTTTTCTAAAAGATCAGGGTAATTTATATAAATAAGATTTTGAAGGAATACTGATTTCTGGTAGACTAGGTAGTATAAGAGGAAATTTTAAACTTCAAGAACTCTCCCCCCAAAAAGAAGAAAAAATACTTAGAACATATTACTGAGGATAAGAAATTACTAAATGCATAAAAAGCTCCTTTATTTGCCCACAATTTCTAGCTTATCCCTTATTTATTAAAACTAAATTTATAATGGCCTGTGAGGTCGTAACACTGACCTCCCTCCCCTGCTCGTCCCCTGGCCACCTCACTGTTGGTCAGACGCTCTAGGCACCCTGGGCCTCTGCCTCTGGGTCCTGTGCTAGCCATTCCCTCCACGTGGAAGTCCTGTTGTTCAGTAGCCAACTGTGTCTATATATGTGTGTGTATGTATTTCCCGCCTTCTCAGGTGTATTCCTTGGACTCTGCTGACTCTTTCCAAAGCTTCTACAGCCCCCACAAGGCTCAAATGAAGAATCCTATACTGGAGCGCCTGGCAGAGCAGATTGCAACTCTGTGCGCCACTCTGAAGGAATACCCAGCCGTGCGGTATCGGGGGTAAGGCAGCACGCCCGTCTGCCCTCAGAGGCCCCCGTGCATCTGCCGAGGAGGAACTTGCTCTGGCCTTAAGATTCCTCTGGCAGTTGCTTAAAGAGGATCAAGATTTGAGCATTCACATTTAAAATTATTCTTCCAATGTTTTTGTCATTTTCTAAATTTTATTGTGAAATATAAGAATACATACAAACAAGGGCATGAAATATATATATATATGCAGTTATAGAATAAATGAGAACCCCTATGGGACTATAACCCAGCTTCCCTACAGTTTTGCATCTCTTCCTAACCTTTAAAAATAAGTACTATCTTTGCAGAAGATGTTCCAGAGTAAGATAAAATACAAGGAGAGTAATTCTCCAAGAGACACATTCCTCAGATTTTATACTGCTGTGTGCTAAGTGCTGGGGGGACTTAATCCGAGGCCCTTGCCCTTAGAAGCCCCTGGTCTGTGAGGGTGGGTAACGTGGAAACCAGCATGTGTGCATGGGCTGTGTATACACACATGCACGTGTGCACACCTGCAATATAGTCCCTGCCAGACCAGAGCCCAAGGACAGAACAGGCCTGGGTGGGGCTGGGCATCCAGAGTAGGGAGAGGGCCCTTGGGGCTGAGGTGATCAAGAACAGCTTCAGACTAAAGTGACATTTGAGCTAGGGCTTGAAGGACAGGTTCAGGTTCGACCAATGAGGAGCAGGGGGCATTTTGTGTGGACCATTGGCTCTTGCCACTGGGATGAGCAAAAGCATGGAGTTGGGGAAACAGGGCAAGTTTGAGGTGGATTGGTCACCTGGCACCGTGTATGTATAGGGCCATGGCGCAAGAGGAAGCCATTAATGGAAGCTTTGAATGCCAGGTTCCTGGTTATGTCCTTCGGTGGTTGTCACCGGGAAACCCTGGGGGATCTGCACAGGGGAGTGGCCGCAGTGCTGTGGGAGCATGGAGATGGGGGTGTGAGCAGGAGTCAGGAGGAGACCAGCGGGGGAGGCCACTGCCAGAGCACTAAGGGCCTGGCCTGGGAGTCGGTCCCTTCTGCCTGACCTGAGTGCCTCTGGTCTGCTGGAAATGCCTCCCTCCATGACTGGGATTCCCTGACAGAAGCATGGGGACAGAAATGGGGGCCTCAGCCACATTCTCACAGTGTTTGCTCCCATTGGCTGACTCTTTGAGTGACCAAAAGGTAGCCAATCCAAAAAGAGCGTGGAAGGAGAGGTGGGGACCAGACAACACCCATCTGCTGCAAAGGAGACTGTATTTATGTAGTGATAACCTTAGCTTGTCACGTGCAGAAAGAACAGATGGTAGCCTTCCTCATTAGCCCTTAACACTTCGAATGCCAAATGCTGATGCCGCTAAGCCTCTGCCCTTGGAGGAAAACAAAGTTGCCAACCAGTAAAGGTGAAGCTGATTGTAAGAGAATATACACATTTTATATCCTAGTATTTTCAGGTTTTTGTTAAAGTGTCTTCTCCCAGCAAACCAAGAAACAAAAATAGTAGGACTTGTATGCATTTTGTAGAGAAAAAAGATGGTCATGGCATATTGGGTCTTTATAGATTAGCTTCTAGACACCGAGGGTGACCTCTTGTTGGTTAGGAGCAATGGAAAAAATACTGTGGGAACATTTAGAGACAGACTCTGTCCCTTCTCACTTGACCAACCTGTTCTCAGCTCGAGGGCAAGAAATTTTTGTTTCTCTATGAGCCCTGTCACCACCTGGATTGAACAAAATCCAACTTCAACCATATAATATTTCATATATTTTTAAAAAGTAATTTTAAGAAACTTTCTTAAAACCCTCAGGTTTTCTAAAAGATCAGGGTAATTTATATAAATAAGATTTTGAAGGAATACTGATTTCTGGTAGACTAGGTAGTATAAGAGGAAATTTTAAACTTCAAGAACTCTCCCCCCAAAAAGAAGAAAAAATACTTAGAACATATTACTGAGGATAAGAAATTACTAAATGCATAAAAAGCTCCTTTATTTGCCCACAATTTCTAGCTTATCCCTTATTTATTAAAACTAAATTTATAATGGCCTGTGAGGTCGTAACACTGACCTCCCTCCCCTGCTCGTCCCCTGGCCACCTCACTGTTGGTCAGACGCTCTAGGCACCCTGGGCCTCTGCCTCTGGGTCCTGTGCTAGCCATTCCCTCCACGTGGAAGTCCTGTTGTTCAGTAGCCAACTGTGTCTATATATGTGTGTGTATGTATTTCCCGCCTTCTCAGGTGTATTCCTTGGACTCTGCTGACTCTTTCCAAAGCTTCTACAGCCCCCACAAGGCTCAAATGAAGAATCCTATACTGGAGCGCCTGGCAGAGCAGATTGCAACTCTGTGCGCCACTCTGAAGGAATACCCAGCCGTGCGGTATCGGGGGTAAGGCAGCACGCCCGTCTGCCCTCAGAGGCCCCCGTGCATCTGCCGAGGAGGAACTTGCTCTGGCCTTAAGATTCCTCTGGCAGTTGCTTAAAGAGGATCAAGATTTGAGCATTCACATTTAAAATTATTCTTCCAATGTTTTTGTCATTTTCTAAATTTTATTGTGAAATATAAGAATACATACAAACAAGGGCATGAAATATATATATATATGCAGTTATAGAATAAATGAGAACCCCTATGGGACTATAACCCAGCTTCCCTACAGTTTTGCATCTCTTCCTAACCTTTAAAAATAAGTACTATCTTTGCAGAAGATGTTCCAGAGTAAGATAAAATACAAGGAGAGTAATTCTCCAAGAGACACATTCCTCAGATTTTATACTGCTGTGTGCTAAGTGCTGGGGGGACTTAATCCGAGGCCCTTGCCCTTAGAAGCCCCTGGTCTGTGAGGGTGGGTAACGTGGAAACCAGCATGTGTGCATGGGCTGTGTATACACACATGCACGTGTGCACACCTGCAATATAGTCCCTGCCAGACCAGAGCCCAAGGACAGAACAGGCCTGGGTGGGGCTGGGCATCCAGAGTAGGGAGAGGGCCCTTGGGGCTGAGGTGATCAAGAACAGCTTCAGACTAAAGTGACATTTGAGCTAGGGCTTGAAGGACAGGTTCAGGTTCGACCAATGAGGAGCAGGGGGCATTTTGTGTGGACCATTGGCTCTTGCCACTGGGATGAGCAAAAGCATGGAGTTGGGGAAACAGGGCAAGTTTGAGGTGGATTGGTCACCTGGCACCGTGTATGTATAGGGCCATGGCGCAAGAGGAAGCCATTAATGGAAGCTTTGAATGCCAGGTTCCTGGTTATGTCCTTCGGTGGTTGTCACCGGGAAACCCTGGGGGATCTGCACAGGGGAGTGGCCGCAGTGCTGTGGGAGCATGGAGATGGGGGTGTGAGCAGGAGTCAGGAGGAGACTAGCGGGGGAGGCCACTGCCAGAGCACTAAGGGCCTGGCCTGGGAGTCGGTCCCTTCTGCCTGACCTGAGTGCCTCTGGTCTGCTGGAAATGCCTCCCTCCATGACTGGGATTCCCTGACAGAAGCATGGGGACAGAAATGGGGGCCTCAGCCACATCCCCGTACAGAGTCGTGGGAGCTCGTGGGAGGGGTGGGGCTGGGGACACAGCTGCTTCAGCCCTGGGCAGCCACCACACACTTTGCAGGCGGCAGGAGCCCCTGGAAGTGCTGTCAGGCTTGGCCAAGGGAAAAGGTTCAGAGGCTCCCACTTACATAGCCAAAATGTCACTTGCCAGCAAAACAAGCCCCCATGGAATCTGAATTGAGGGAAGTGAGAATCAGATGGCCAGGCTCAGGAAGCATGGGGAAAGGATGGGGGTCAGGACCCTCTGCTGAAGTGTGGTGGTTTATCTGAAGCAAATTGGGAAGACTACCTGTTTCCATTTAGATAGTTTAGAAAAAGAAAAGGAGCTAGAAAGTCATTTATATTCCAGGCACTGAGCTAAGTATTTTATGTGTCTGAATCATACCTGTAATATATGAACACACTGTAAGAGTGCAGTACGGATGGAGCTCGTGTCTCCCTTGGCCCTCCCCTCACTGTCCTGCCTTCCTCCCCGAGGGCAGTCGGTGTCAGTGATTGGGTGCCCGGGCCATTGACCCTGTGTCGCTCCTCCTTTGTCAGGGAATACAAGGACAACGCTTTGCTGGCTCAGCTAATCCAGGACAAGCTCGACGCCTACAAAGCCGATGACCCGACAATGGGGGAGGTAAGTCTGCGCTTGGTCCACGGGGTTCCCTCACCAGGTGACCACAGTGTTTGTGCAGCAGTCCTTGGGACAGAGTGGCTCTGTTGCTCACAGCGCCTGTGAGTGCCACCATTCCTGCGCATTGGCCCCCAGGAAGTGCTCCAGCCTTTAGGGAGGGTGATACGGGTTATGGTCACTGTAGGCAGGGTGGTTTATTTCTGTTGAGCAGTGAAAGGCCTTCATCCTGGGGAGCCCCTCAGTGGTCAGTATTAAAACCAGAAAACTGACATTGATGCCCTCTCCTGACCTCATTCAGATTTGACAAGTTTGTACACGTGCACCTGTGTATGTGCAATTCTGTGCAGTTTTATCAGTCAAGACACTGGTCTGTTCCATCACTATTTTGATTTTAAAACTGAAAATCCCAGGTCCCAAACCCACCCCAGCAAACTGGAGGGTGGGTCACCCTGGTTGTAGCTGAACTGAGATGGTGCCGCCTCAGGTTTGCATCTGTGTCAGAAGAGCCTCATCGCAAAATAGGCGACTGGATTCTCTTGTGGTTTTTACAGGTGTTCTTGGCAAGCAGGGAGTGGACTGGTCAGCGCGGTTTTAGTAGGTTTTACCTCGGAGTTCTCTCCCCGCTGCCACCTTTTATAAGACGGTCGCTGTGCTGGTTGGAGAGGCCGCGGTTGAACAGGTGGCTCCTGAGCATAGTCCCTGTGTCTGTCCTTCCAGGGCCCAGACAAGGCGCGCTCCCAGCTCCTGATTCTGGACCGCGGTTTCGACCCCAGCTCCCCTGTACTTCACGAACTGACCTTTCAGGCTATGAGTTACGATCTGCTGCCTATCGAAAATGATGTATACAAGTAAGTAGACAGACCTAGAGTACCTGTAGCTTTGCCCAGGAACCAAAACACCTGTAAGAAAAAGGACACCGTTAACCACTTATGCAGTCTTGCCAATAAGTTCCCCAAATCCACATGGCATCACTAGCCAAGAACTCTTGTTCCTTCTGGGGTGAATTTAGTTCACAGCTCATGTCACTTCAGCTCAGAGTCTGCTTGGCGGTGTTATTTTGTTGATGTGTGTGTTGTGTGTGAGTGTATCTCATTCAGAGCTGAAATTTCTTAATTATAGGTCATGAAATATGATGATAAAATATCAATATACAACATAAATGAAAGCTAGTAGGTGCCACCTTGCTGAGGGCGGCATCCCAGTCCTTTCCCAGAGAGGAACAAACGTGGTCCTCTCCTTTCCTTCACAAGTAACCCATAAGCTGACTTCACACCCTGAACCCTGTGCCTTTGATGGGGCTCATGCCAGCTGACCCTGAGGATTTCTAACAGAACTTCCAAGTTGGTTGGTTTCGCTCAGAGCCTTGGGTCTCTCCCTGCCCGAGAAATCAGGCCGTGTCAGTGCTGACACGGCACCTAATAGAGCCCGTGGCACGTCAGGTGGTGGGGGGCGTGTTGTGAAGTCATCGCTCACCTGAGCATTTGTCTGCTGAGGACCGTGGGCTCTTGTCTGTTATAAACCAGAGGGGGCTGGGTGGTTTTGTGGGGACGTCTCCTCTCCAGGTACGAGACGAGCGGCATCGGAGAGGCGCGGGTGAAGGAGGTGCTCCTGGACGAGGACGACGACCTGTGGGTAGCGCTGCGCCACAAGCACATCGCCGAGGTGTCCCAGTAAGAGCCCCACCTGCCCTTCCCCGGGACACTTTGGGAAGCATGTGTAGCTCTCTCAGCAAAATGCTTTGTAAACACTGCATATCTAAATCCAGTTCATTCCACTGAAAAATCCAGATTCCACTACATACAATTCGGTCTTCCTATATCCAGCTGGTGTGTAATTTTCCTCCCCTGCTGTCTACCTATAATTTCTGAGCAGGAACTGACGTCTACACACTGAACCCACCATGCTCTGAAAATGTCTTAGAATGTTTCCAGCACCTGAACTGTTGTACCTTGAAACTATAATTAGCAGTTCTGCCTTTGCCAAAAGACACATTCTGCTCACTGAGTTGGGGGGAACCTCAGGAGATTCACAAGGAAGAGTGGGAAATTACTACAGCCTTGGATAGTTCTGTTGTTTAGAAAAGGGATCTCCAAACTTTTGACCACTCCATTTCAGAAAAATCCTGATACACATTTCCAGTATTTATTTATGAATTCAATATATGCTTTTTTTGTGCAAATATGTATATTTTACAGCATATACTAAAAAGAAAATTGAAAATGATGAAGTAAAATAGACATAAATAGATGTCCTAATATTTTCTTCTCTCAAATCATCTCGTGCACCCCACTCGGGAGACCTGTGGTTTGAATATTAGTTAGGAAAATGATGTCCATCTCTCTCCTCTTAAGATCACTTTAAATGCCCACCTTCCTGGCAGGAAGAGTTGCCATGTATCCCTAGAGGAACATCCGTGTAGGGGCCCTTGGTGTTGCTGTGAAACTGACCGACCTCCTCCTGTCTCCCAGGGAGGTCACCCGTTCTCTGAAAGATTTTTCTTCTAGCAAGAGAATGAACACTGGAGAGAAGGTAAGCCCATGCCGAGGCTCCCATGCCCTCTGAGCTGATCTCTGCCTTCTCTCCAGGAGCACGGAGGATGGCTCCTAGGTGTAGACTAGCGCATTTGGGGAGCGTCCTCTCTTCATCTGATACTATTTTGCCTTATTTTTGCCTTCAAGATGGAGCTCCAGAGCCGCCGTCTTTGATATTTATAGAGGTCTTCTTTTTGTTACTCTGAGGATTAACATTTACTGTTTTGAATCTTGATTTGTTTTAAGCCAGAAGAACCACAGAACCTTTTTTAGCTTAAGGTGGCATGAGAATTCACCACCTGGTCTACCTGGGCCTCTCCTTATCCTGGCTCCTTATCAGAGGTGGCTAACCCATCATAGTCAAGGGAAATGCAGCTCTGATGGTGCCATTCCCTTGCTTAAAGCCATTTAGGGACTTTCCATTCCCAGTAGAACTAAGCCCCACCTGTGGACATACGTGCCTTACAGCTCCTTGGCCGTCAGGCCCAAACCCTCTCTAGTCCAGTCTCTGCCTCCCTGGCCCCCACCACCTTGCTCCAGCTGTGCCTGAGTTCCTTGCTTGGGCCTTGCCTTGTAGAAGTCTCAGTCCTTTGGCTCAGGCATTCTTTTCTTTTTTTTTTTTTAATTTTTTATTAAGGTATGATTGATACACACTCTTATGACGGTCTCACATGAAAAAACAATGTGGTTACTACATTCACCCACATTATCAAGTCCCCACCCATACCCCAATGCAGTCACTGTCCATCAGTGCAGGAAGTTCATTATTTTCTTAGGGAAACCTTCCCAAGTCCTCCCTTAACTGGAAACCTTCCCAACTCCTCCCTTAACTAGTGAAGAGCTTGTGTTCTGTGCACCCACACTTGTGATCTCCACAGAGAGCCCTAATCCACTCAGCCAGGATGGCTCCTCTGCTAGATATGGCTCCATGAAGGCAAAGAGTCCTTTTTTGGGTGGGGAGGCCTTATATCTCCAGCACTTAAAAATGCCTGGCATGTGGTAGTAAATCAATACATTTTTTTTGGATAAGTGAGTGGGATTAGCTGAGTCACAGAGAGTGAAAACAGACCCCGACTGCTTTCACCTGTTCAGAGGCAGAATCCAGCCTTCTCTCACCTTCTCCCAACTTACACGACTATAGCCTTTCTGCTGGGACAAAGTGTGAACTTATTGCCAGTGCTGCTAGAGCTGAGTGTGTGGAAAAGCAGCACACAGGAGAAAAGTTGTTCTTTCTTGGCAATAATTATGCTCGCTCTCAATAACTTTCTACTTCCATAAATAAAATGTGATTGCTAGACTTCAAAGTTCAGTTCCCCACCCATAAAACAGTCATGGTATTTGGATCAGTAATTTTTGAACCAGATGCCTGAAAATCTAAACACACATGATCTTGTGTTTAACAGATTAATTTTGAGAGTTCCAGAGCATGCGCCTGGCAAGTCTGGTGCTGGCTGCAGCCCCATCCTGCGCCCACCCCCACCGCTGGCACAGCCTCTTAGATCAGGGCCAGTGAGGTGAGGCCAAGGCTTTCTCTTTCCTTACAGACCACCATGCGGGACCTGTCCCAGATGCTGAAGAAAATGCCCCAGTACCAGAAAGAGCTCAGCAAGGTATGGCAATCCGGAATGATGGATCTGAATCGTGAGTATAAACAGCTGTAGAAAGACTTCTGGAAGCCTCACTTCACTTATTCATTGAAATCCACAGGTTTTTCATTATCATCAAATTTTATTAGGAAAAATGAAAGGCTGGGATAGCTTATTTCCCAGAGCGTTCTTTTCTTCCCTTCATCATTGTCTCTCTTTATCCTTCAGTTCCTCACCTCCTGGGCCCCCCTACAGGGCTACTTGAGTGTCCCGCAGAGGGAGTGGTGACCCCAGAGAGTTTGCTAGGAGGGAGTCCCAGTGTCTTTTATGTCCTGATCTGAGATGCCACGTCACTGCGTCCACACTTCGTGAGAAGCAAGCCACTAAATCCGCCCCACGCACAAGGAGAGGGGACCTGTGCTCCTTCTCCTGGAGGGAGAAATAGCAAAGCTTGTGGGCACCTTGTGAAATGGCCTGCCACCCTGTCCCCATAAAAGGGTTCCTCCTTCCTCTTCACTCTCTTAAGAATATGGTTTGTCCCTGTCTCCTGACACACCAAGTTTTCTACCTTGTGGCATTTGTGTGACTTGTACCTTGTGCCTTGCTGAGCAGGTTTAATGTCCTTTATGAGGCTGGAGACTCCTGGTGCCTAGCAGAGTGTTTATACATAGTAGGTGCTCAGTAGATGTTGTGCGAATCAGTGGATAATTCATTGATCACAAACTCTCCGCTTTTTCCCAGTATTCAACCCACCTGCACCTTGCCGAGGACTGCATGAAGCATTACCAAGGCACTGTGGATAAACTGTGCCGAGTGGAACAGGTACAACCTTTTCCTTCTTTTTCTGCCATGCCCATGTACCCAGCTGAATTTTAACGTCTGACCTTGAACATCCTGCAGAATCGTAGGATGTAGAGATGGGAAAGCTTGCTAGATCACGTTGTTTCATCTCTCTGGAACCAGTGCAGTTCCACTCTCAGTGGTAGGGACTAGAGTGGTCTGGAGTGCTGTGCCGTTTGGAGTTTGCATGTCTGACTTTGCAAAGGCTCTGTGGAATGTCTGAAGGTCTGCAGCTCTGAGCCCTACACTGACAGGGCCGGCTGAATTTTATATTTGAGTGTATTTCCCTCCTGCCATGACCACCTGGCTCTGGAGACCTAGAGGCTGAAAGAGGAGAGTGAAGTAGAGGTCAGAAGCTTGCCCACCACCTCCCTGGCTCATTTAGGACTGCAGGTTGAGAGTTTGGGAGTTGAGTTCTGTCTCTCTTATTAATTGGTCTGACGTGCCTGTTCTCTGCTTTATCTTCCTCTTCTGCAAAGGGAAACCCCATTTTCCAGGAGTGTTGTGTGGCATCACTAATCTTGGCACTCCATTCAAGTGTGATAACATCACTCAACAGGGGTCTGAGGGGAGGGAGGGTATTAATAATTCTGAAAAAGCTTCAGCAGAAGGCCCCTGTTCAGCAAAGAGAACTTAAGTTCTCTTGAGACTGGTCCCGATCCACTGTCTCTTCTAAAGGGCAAGAGCCTGCTAAAATCCGGCATTTCCAAGGCGATCTTGGCAAACACAAGGTGTCCTCCTCAAAAGGACAAGACTCCAGAAAACACGTTATCCCTAGATCAGGAAATACACAGCTGGGATGAATCCTTGGAAGTTTAAATGTTTCAGAAGTGCTCAAACTAGTCCCATTTAATTTGACTGTTAGAGAGCAATAGAATCAGGTCCTGCTGAGAGGCTGGCAGTAGGACTGAGAGGTAAGGGCCTAGGAGAGGTGCCGGCCTTCCTGTGACCCAGACTGGGAAAGGCCACAGGCCCAAGATGCTAAGGGATCCTGAGAGGGACGGAGAAGCTGCAGGCAGCCTCTAGGAGCTACAGAGGGAGGTGCCGCTGCTGGCCTCCGAGAATGAGACCAGCTGGTTCTTGACTTGCTGAGACCATGTGCCGTTCCCGGGCCACGGAGAAGGGACCTGAGTCCCTCCTGTGTCATAAAGTGGGCCGGCTGCTTGTGCTCAGCCTGCCCACCTTCGTCTGCAGCTCTTCCGCCAGCCCTTCCCTTTCCCTGTATCTCCCTGGGTTGTATCTGCAGGTTTGGGAGCCCCTCTTGTTTCTCCTCGCCCTAAAAGTGGTTGGAAGGTAAAAACAGAGGTCACAACGCTTGAGAAGCTCAAACTCAGAAAGCATGGCCTTCAGTGCCAGGGGCAGCAGAAGAGGGTCTGGCCGGGCAGGGCCACCTTAAAATGCCAAAGTGCTTCTGTGTGGGAGGCGCAGCCAGTGAAGCCCGATCCCCCAGCAGGGCCGGGACCTCCAGGGGACCCGCCAGCGTGAGGCCTGGCCTGAGGAGCTGGCACAGTACACTGGCCCTCTCACCCGAAGCAGGCAGCCCACCTTTAAACAAGATGACAAACCATCGTGGGACATCCATTTGGATGCCCTGGAAAACAGTCCTGGTGGCACCAAGGCAGCGCCTTCCCTGCCCGAGCCGCAAATCCCAAACATCAGGGGCCACCAGCCACCAGCGTGCTAATAGTCGCCATCTGTCCAGACTGTTGCTGGAAACGGGGCCCCATGGTGTGTTTTCTGCAGGACCTGGCCATGGGCACGGATGCGGAAGGGGAGAAGATCAAGGACCCCATGAGGGCCATCGTCCCCATTCTGCTGGATGCAAATGTCAGCACTTACGACAAAGTCCGCATCATCCTTCTCTACATCTTTTTGAAGAATGGTAGGAATGGTGTGATATAGAGGATGCAGCCCCTTCTTGGGAAAGTGAGGCAGCTGGGAGAGAGGAGAACGTGAAAGAATCGTTTAAATGAGCTGGTGAAGGGTATCTAGACAAGAAGAAGGTCCTAGGGGCTCTTTACGTTTGGGGAGACGGAATGTGGGCAAATGAGTTGTTGCTAGACTATCACCCAGTGATTCTGGAGCCGATCAAAGATGTGGAGTCTATGGAAGAGGTCGGGTGGGGGCAGGGGCGGCAGGGAGAGCACACCAGCTGAATGGCCAGTTTACTAGAGCTTAGCTTCCACGTACTTTTAACTTGTGTCACATTAGTGATCCATGCATTTAAGTAACTGATTTTTACCCACATCATAGTTGCCCATAAGTGTCCATTGTGTAAAAGGTGGGCTTGGGACTCGCCTGTCCACATTGGCATTGATGCTGGGGGTGGCAGGGGTGGCTGAGAGGCAAGGACAGATGGGAATACAGACCACGAGGGCCGATGCTGTGCAGGGTGGGGAGAGCAGAGTTAGAATCCCGATCCTGTCCTCATCTTACCATGAGGTGATGTGGTGAACAGGTTAGTTTCCACTAACCCTGAGGAGAAGGGGCACCGTTCCCCCAAAGCAACTGGCCCTGCTTCTGAGTGAGTTATGCACAGTGGCTGGGTGTGATGACAGGGTTTTGTTATCCAGGCATCACTGAGGAGAACCTGAACAAATTGATCCAGCACGCCCAGATCCCGCCAGAGGACAGCGAGATCATCACCAACATGGCGCACCTGGGGGTGCCCATCGTCACAGACGTAAGGAGCCAGCCCTGCCTGGGGGGCAGGAGGGCAGAAGGGAAGCTGGCGTGTCTTACCTGTTTCCCTCAACTTACTTAAGGCAGCTTACGACACACACTCAACACTGAGGAAGAGAAAAGATAAAATCAGAGGAATACAGGCATAGAAGTGTAATAAAATAGGAGTATAACACCCTAAGATTCCAGACACACACACCAAGGTGTCACTCACAGTCATTACAGCTGAGTTGCGTCTGTGAACCACTCTCAGTGGTAGGGACTAGCAGGGCCGGGACCTCCAGGGGACCCGCCAGCGTGAGGCCTGGCCTGAGGAGCTGGCGCAGTACACTGGCCCTCTCACCCACCAGCTTCGTCCTTAGTGTCTTGAGCTCAGCCTGGGGCTGCCTTTGCACACCTCGATTCAGCATCTTCTGAGAATACAACACTTGGCATCAACATCAAGTGCTTTTGCCCCCCTCCGTTCTGCCCAGGCGATGATTCAGAACCAAGGCAGGGCAGATGTTCTGGGGGCTCTGTCTGTGCAGGAGCCCTAGAAGAGCCAGGGTGGGGGTGCTCCAGAACTGAGGGCGAGGCCCACGTGCCTCCCACTGCTCTGCCCGGACCCTCACCTGTAGGAGCCCCGCACGCTTTCTTCCTAGAGGGACTCAGTCACACAGCAGTGCTAACACGGCTCGAGTGCAGAGGCGCTGCAGTGGGAATCTCAGAGTCAAAACTTTGTTCTGGAGCCACCAGACCACATACCTGTACCTGGAGGTACTTTGGTGTTTTTAGACTCTTGTTAATCAGAAGGGCCAAAATGAGAATGGGGATGATTCGGTGCATCCCGGACTGTTGAAGCAAAAGCAGAGTATGTCAGACCCGGAGATGCAAAAAAACAGCAAACTATTTTTTAACTACCTGGAATTTTTTAAAAGGCACTTACACATTTGACCCACATTTGCCATATTTCATGACTTTAAAAGAACCAAGTTTGCGGCAGATTCTTGGGCTTTTCCTGGAAAACCTCCCTCACCTACTGCTCTTGGCCAGTGCTGACTCTCTCTGGGAGAGAATTTTCAGAGGCCAGCAGGTCACCCAGGGCCCCATGGCTCCTGACTCAGGGTCTGATCTTGCATGTTTGTATGCAGTCCACATTGCGTCGCAGGAGCAAGCCAGAACGGAAGGAGCGCATCAGTGAGCAGACCTACCAGCTGTCCCGGTGGACCCCGATTATTAAAGACATCATGGAGGTCAGTGGTGGGCAGCGAGCACCGTGGACCCCAATTACCAAAGACATCAGGGAGGTCAGTGGCGGGGAGCGTATGGTGAAGGACAGCCAGGGCTCTTCACTTGGAGGCCCAGCTTCACCTGCTCTCAGGTGGCGGTGACAGGTGACACCTGGGGTTTTGCATCTCGAGGATTGGCATCCCGGTCTCCTGAGCTCTCACAGGCCTCATAGCATGTCCTGTCCTGAGGGTTTCGGAAGCAGGCCCAGGAGACTGCCCGATGCAGGTCTCCAAGATGAGGACGGTTTAGTCCCATGTCAGAGACCCTCAGTGACACTGCACCCGAAGGGACCGAACTCGCCACAGCATCTAAAGGCCTGGTGACTAGCAGGCTCCACGCTGAAGGTGTGGAGGAGCCTCTGCAGTGTGACCCCGGCCTGCCCCTCTTCCTGCGCCTCCCCTTCATAAGCCCTCCACCTCGGCCAGACCCAGCATGTATCTGCCTCTGCTCTTCTGTTCAAACACACCTCTTGCCTGGAATGTTCTCGCTCTTCTTTCTACTTCTGAAATCCCATCTTCTTTCAAAGTCTCTGTTGGGTCTCATCATCATCCCCATGCACCCCACTGCCTGCCTGTCTGACCACCCACACCAAAGTGCCTCCCTTAGTCTCCTGTAGCACGTGTCAGGGTTGCTCTTTATGTGTATGTCCATGCTTGGTGTTGTGGGTCATCTTATAACTTGGTCCTATGCCCTCCACTGACATGTCCGGGCACCGTGCCTTATACATACTAGGTGTTTCATATTTGTGCATGTGAACTGGCCCTCTGCTGTCCCTCCCCTCTCCTCATAGCATGAGGAAACTCTGCTTAGAATCCTACCCTACTAGAGCTTTGGGTGGGACTTGGACATAGCCGGTCCTGCTGCTGCACTTGACAGGTGGACAAGACTGGGCACTTGCCCAGAACCCCTTTGCTGATGCAAGCAGCCCAGGTGCTCCTGCTGATGGTGTATTAAAATAAGTATATTTTAAATTTACATAGTGAGTCAACTTCCTGTTTTTAAACCCCACAAACCAAAAGGATCTGTGAGCATGAGACATAGAAGAACAGTTATTCTTTGTTTGGTGGAATAGATAAAGCCGACCCCTTGCCTCATTCCCTCCTTTGTTCTCTGCTCCCTTTTCCTGCCCCTCCTTCCCAACCCCCTAAAGAGAAGTGTGCAGGCTTCACGTGGAAGCTGTTAGGAGGAGTGTGGACTTCTAGGCAGCAGGAGGCGGGTAACTAGAATCCTCCTACCAGATAATTAGACCTTTGGAAAGCTCAGGGTGTGAGGCCTTCTTCTGCATGAGAGACTCTGTCTGTACCTAATTTCCACAAGACTGACAGTGTCAGAAGTTTATTAGACAGAATGCAACATTTATAACCTTACATAGAATATGAAAAGGGGGGTAAAGAATAAATTGAAAGGGAAGCAAGAAAAATTAATGCACAGATTCATTTGTGTGTTTAATTTCTCTTGGCTCCTCCCGTGTCAGCCCTGTGGAGTATCTCGTCCTTGCCGAGCGCAGTCCTGGGCCCCCTACAGCAGACTGCGGGTCAGGGGGCTCTGGTCATTGCCAACCTGGCCATGTTTTTTTCTAAGTGACGTCCTTGAATCATGCGACGTTGGTTCTATCAGCCTTCTTCAAACAGATGGCAGGCTTAGTATCTGTCTCTATTCTTTCCAGGACACTATTGAAGACAAACTTGATACCAAGCATTTCCCTTATATCTCTACCCGTTCCTCCGCCTCCTTTAGCACCACCGCTGTCAGGTGAGTGAGAATCTCTGAGCAGGTAAGGCAGGAAGTGGGATATCAGCTACATGGTAGTCCTGTTGGGACACAGCATGACCCTTGAGGACCCTCCCGCTGCTCTCGTCACAGCCAGTGTGCAGGCCAAGTGCAGAGAGTGGTCCAGGAGCCCTCCAGCTTTCCGTTCCACTCGGACTTGTTCCGGCTCCTCCCTTTTCTCTCTCCACTTGAGCCACACCAGCCTCCTTCTCTGATCTGAACATACCAGGCTTGCTTCTGCCTCAGGACCTTGGCACTTGCTTTTCCCTCTGCCTGACATGCCCTGTCCCCAGATAGAGCTACATGGCTCACCTCTTACCTCCTTCAGATTTGACCGACTGTTAGGTCTCCCACTTCCCTAACCAAGCTGCGTGCACCAGTGTTGTGGCAGCAGCATTCATGATAGCTCAGAAGTGGAAGCCACCCAGACGTCCATCAGCTGATGCACAGATCAACAGAGTATGGTAAACTCACGCATGGGATACCGTTCCACCAAGGAGTGGAATGAAATACTGTTCCATGCTTACAACATGGATGAACCTTGCAATCATTATACTGACTGAAAGAAGTCAGTCATAAAAGTCCACCTACTCTCTGATTCAGCTTAAAAGAAACATCCCAAATGGGCAGATCTGTCCGGATGGAAGGTAGCTTAGTGTTGCCAGACACGGGATGTGGGGGGGGAGCATGGGAGGGGAGTGACTGCTCACAGGCACAGAGTTTCTTTTGGGGTGACGAGCCTGGCCTAAAACTGATGGTGGTGGTGATTCACCACAATTGTATGACTACTAAAAACCATGGAACTGTACACTTTAAAGGAGTGAACTGTATGATACGTGAATTATCACCCAGTAACGGTGTGCATTGAAAAAGATCACAGACCCCGCCCCCCACACTCCCTGTCTCCCTTCTCTGCAGATGACAGCACCGCTTAGCGTCCAATTTGCATGTATCTTGTTTGCAGCCAGCACCCCTGCATGAGACCCTCTGCTTCCTGAGGGATTCGTGTCCCTTTTACCCTGAGGGCCTGGAGCGCAGGCTAGCACTGGGGGTATTCTGTCTTCAGTCTGTATCCACTCATTAATTTCAGTCATTAGTTAAGATGGGATGAGTCATTTGCATAGAGCCGCATTTCTCAGTCACTCCTGATGGAAACGTAGATGGCAGATCTGTGGGCACCTTGGGTTCGGCGGGTTTCTGCCGTGTACCTGGTGACGCTCAGACATCTCAGCTCTGCGGTGGGGGTGAACGGCACCCCCACTCTGTCCCCAGGTTCCCCAGCACCACGCTCTGGTTGCCCAGGAGCCTGTGGGGTCTCTGAAAGCTCTCTCCCCCTCTCCTCTCCTTGCTGTACTTACCCAGAGACCCTCCTGCTGCGCCCTGTGGGTGACATTTGCACGTGCCGCCCCTGGGGCCTTATAACCCCCGTGACACATCTTGCCTCGGACCCTCCCGTCTGCCCCCATCTGTGTGGTCCAGGCCCCTCCCGGCCCTCAGCAGCATCTGTTACCTTCCCCGAGGTGGCAGCCCCAGAGCCAGCATGCCGCTCCACAAGAGCGTGGCTTGGCTTCTGAGAACAGTCGAAGCTGAGCACAAGAGCTTGGAACGGGGAGGCCGCCGGCTCCGGGAGGGGGCCTGGGGCTCGGGGATCACGCGGTTCCTGGGACTGAGCCCTGCTTGCCTCGCACTGCCCCTCGGCTCACACGTGGCCGGCCTGTCTTCCTCGTCTTCCCTTGGACGCTTTCTCTTGGCACGGCGAGGCCCTACTGAGGGAAGCCCAGGGGCAGAGGAGGTACTTCCAGGGGGCCGTTCCCCGACTGAGATGCCTGTCCCTGGGGGGCAGCTCAGTGTCACCCTTCCTGGGAATCCTGTGATGACCCTCGGATAGTGCCAGACTGCCACCCCGTGTTTGTTCCCGTGGCGCTGAGCCCCCCCCATTGTAGTAGGTTCAGACCTGCTTCCCTCTCTCCACCCACCTAGTTAAACCCTGAGCTCTCGGTGGGCAAGGACTGCTTCCATCGGGTCGGCCCCTGGTGCGGGGGGAGGCCCCGGCCCGCGATGGCTCCGTGAATCCGCGCACCAGCTCGAGGACACGCCTTAGACGCTGGTCGCTGCTCCTGCCAGTGGGTGTCTTGGACCAGCCTAGAGACGTGTACAGTGGGAGTAGATGCCTGGACAAACATCATGCTGTGCAAAGCTGTTGAACGTGCACGTCAGACTTGGAAGCCAGCCCGAACCTGTTGTCTCCTTACCTGTAAGAGGAAAGGTCGCAGCGCGGGGGCTCCTCGTGACCCTCCTAGCAGCCAGACCACTTAACCGTTTGCACTGCGCTTCAGTTCAGCCAATGCTGAGCATCCACTCTGTTTTGGTCACTGGTGTACAGGACGAATGTATAAACTAGCCCCTAGGTATGAAGTGATAAACACTCTAAGTGTGGATAAACATGATTAATCTCTCTCCCCTTCTCTCTCCCTCTCCCTGCCCAGCGCCCGCTATGGGCACTGGCATAAGAATAAGGCCCCAGGGGAATACCGCAGTGGCCCCCGCCTCATTATTTTCATCCTTGGGGGCGTGAGCCTGAATGAGATGCGCTGTGCTTACGAGGTGACCCAAGCCAGTGGAAAGTGGGAAGTGCTCATAGGTGAGTGGGCATGTTTTCTAGAGGGAAGGGGCTGCTTCGTCGCACTGTGACTCCATTCCATGCTTTGTTGTTTCTTTTTGTCTTCGATTCCCCCGTTGTCCCTGCAGACCTTAGTCTGTAGACCCATTTGTGGACAGCAGAAGCTAAGGGGTAGGGTTCTACCTCATATCTGTGCTGTGTCTCTCTGACGAGAGGCAGCTGCATGCAGCAGGAAGTGCCTGATCCCTAGACCAGGCTCCCGTCCCACTCTGCCACTGCCAGGCAGGCCGCCACGAATAAGCGCCTCCCCCCTCCATGCCTTGATGCCCTTACACAACAAAGGGGAATTGCCAACACCTGACAGCCTCAAGCTCGGCCCCAGGTAGGACTTGTCGGGGTCCTGGCATTGGGCCTCACGTTCAGGAGGCTCAGTGAAGAGAGGCTCGGTTGTTACCCCTTGTCCACCTGTCAGTTGGAGATGCACAGACATAGTGTGTGAACAGATACTGCCCAAGACATTGGCCTGACCACGGGACTCTCCTAAGGGTCCCCCAACCAGTCCCTGCCGCTTCTACGTCTGTCATACCCCTTTTCTTACTTCCTGCTTGTTTTTTAGAAGAAAGGAAGCAACTCGTAAGAGCCGACTTAATGCCACAGATTTTTCTCCTTTCCCATTCCTGAGGAGCCTCCACAGCTGCCAGGGCCGGAGAGGAAGTGGGCTGAGAGAAATCTCGCTTCCTCCACATGCCTCTCTTTTGTCCCGTCTTGTCCTTAACAAAGTGGAGTCACACCTGCCCAGGGTGCCTTTTGACCCTGACTGGCGAGAGGCTTTCAGCACATACTACCCTTCCCCTTACCGTGATAAGATGTATCAGTTTGCCACCTCTGCTTTGGAGTAGCCAAGTCAGGGTGCCCCCAAACCCTCAGTGTGAGCAGGTTCTGCAAACCAGTCCATGTGGCCATTCTTGGGTGTCTCAAGATGGATCTGACGCCATCAACCTGCCTTCTAGATGCCACCTTCCAGTGCGGGGAGTTGGACGTGCCCCGGCTCCCCCCACTCCCTTCATTTCCCCTGCCTGCTCACCATTTCTCCCTGTTCTGTTTTTCCTTTTTGTTACGCAGGCCCCTGTGATAAAGCTCTCTCTGTTCCCAGCTCCCATGTGTGTTGCATGAATGTGTTGGATAATTCTCTGCTCGAACACAGCTTTCCTGGGCGGCAGCTGTCTCAGCCAGGCTTTGGTGAAATCTCTCTTTGCTTTGGTCCTGACCTGGGGCCCCCTGGTGGGCGGGGGAAGCCTGGGGCAATAAGGCTGCCCAGGCAGATCCATGGAGAGGCCTGGCACAGGCAGCCGATGTCTGCTGTGTGGCCCCACCTGCTTCCAGCATGCCAGCCCTCCCTGCGGCCCGTGTGCATGTACGCATGTGTGTGCGTTTGCGTGTCTTGCTTCCTCACACCTCATTGGCTGCATAAAGTAGGCCTAAGTTGGCATGTTCCTGTGACGTACCTTGGTTCAAGCAGTCAGCTGGCCTCTGTTCTCCCGCAGGTTCTACTCATATTCTTACTCCCACCAAATTTCTCATGGACCTGAGACACCCCGACTTCAGGGAGTCCTCTAGGGTATCTTTTGAGGATCAGGCTCCAACAATGGAGTGAGAGCCAAAGAAACAAAGTAAAAGCAGCTTATTTCAGAAAAGAAGCTCTTCCTCCGAAGGGTTTTCTTTGATTATTTTGTCACTTTTCCTTTGTTTTTCCCTTTTTAGTTTATGATTTATTTGGTTTTCTTTTAACAAGAAAATGCTTGCAGTTCTTAATACCGATTGAAAATGTGTCCGACGCTGCCTTCACAAACCCCACCCCGAGAGCCTCTGGGCTCCGGCCCCAGCTCTCCACGCCGTGGGTTACCTGCTGCTCAGACAGCTGCAGCCCACTGGGTTCTAGACCAAAAATGACAGTAACTGGTGTGCACAGGCCTCCAGAGGAAGCCGGAAGCTGAGGGATGCTGGAGGCATGGCTGAATTTGTGGGCATCAGGCCAAGAGCACATAGCATCCCAGTGTGACATGCTGTGGTCACTTGAGGGTGAGGCCAGCAGGCGTTCAAGGGACAGTCATGTCCAGGAAGGCCGAATACCCATGGGCACGTGATGATGAGGAAGGCTTGGCAGAGAGCGTCAGAACAGACTGAGTGAGCGGTAGGCAGGCGCGTAAATCTTTGTCCCAGGACAGGCACTTACCCTGAGGCACAGTTTCTAAGGGGTGACAGGGTCACAAGCCACCCTGTACTTGGTGGGCTCCAGCTATTGGTGGAAAGTACTCCTGTCTCCTGTTCCTTGGGGGAAATGCTACTTACTAGTCTCCTCTTTCAGTAGTTGCTTTTATTTTAATTCTCCTTTGAATCCTTTCCAGAGCTGAGTAATCACACCCCTCTCTCCATTAAAGTCTCGTGGTGAGACCTGAGAGCCTCGGGGTGGAACTCTGGTCTTAGGGCCACATGCTGTTTCAAAGAGCGTCGCCCCCTCGCCCACCACCCTGTACCTTTATCTCAGCTGCCCAGGAACCTGACGTCTGTTTGGTAGATTGTCTGGCCATCATTCTTGCCCTCGTTCCTCCCTGCCTCCCTCCATCCTGCACACGTGCAGGGAACCTCCTGCAATGTGTTCAGATGCCGCCTGTCAGGCACTCCACAGCTTCATTGTGCATGCTGTGATGGGGCCACATTCTGTGAGCCTGACTTTGCATCCTCCAGTGGTGATGGGCCGTGAAAGTGCCCCTCCCCTTGGGCTGAAATGTGGCCGGGCGAGTCACGGAGTATATGTCACCTGTGAGCAGTGGTGAGGCCTGGACTCCACTCCAGCTCTGCCACGGGCACCAGAGGCGGTCATCTCCACTTACTGGGCCACAGCATGTGGGACCCAGACTGGATTGCAGGGTCCCCAGTTCCTCTGAGCTCTGACCATCTGTCATTCGGTGCTGCAGGCTGGTGGCTCAAACCACGCAGACCTCCCCACTCCCACACACACACTCTGGTGAACCTCAGGGCAGTGGGCCATGGAAACCTTGGCCAGGTCACACCCAAAAGCATGCTTTTTATATAAAAAGAATGCCCCATCCGGAAGGGAGTTGCTCTGAAGGTGGGAACAGGAGGCTGTACCACTTCCTTCCCGTGGCTGAGAGATGGCTCCCCCAGGGCAGTGGAGAGGTGTGGGAAGCAGCCTGCAGTTGCGAGGCAGAACAGGGTGACAGCCGCAGCCCTGGGCTACTCCCATCCTGCCCAGGCTGCCTTCCTTAGAAAGTAAGGCCAGGAGGTGGTGAATTAAAGCAATTGTTAAAAAACAATCATTGCTTAGAAGCACCTTGGTAGGCTGGTAATCAGAGACTTCAGGTTCTGTGTGCAGGTGGCAGGTGAGTGGACAGCATTTACTGCCAGATGCATCTTAAGGCTTCTAGAAGGACAGATACTTAGCCGGGGCTGCAGCCTTGGCAGAACACCTGCAGGGTCTGCAGGAGCCGCACACCAGACCCCAAGAGTTCCAGCTGGCATTCATTCTGGGATTCCTTGCTTCAGAAGAAGGCTCTCCTTTGCAGACTGGTTTATTTGGTTTTATATACAATCAGCAGAGAGGGTCTTGGCTGCCACCAGCAGAGGGATTGCGAATAGGCTCTGGTTATGTATTCTGGGCTGCTGAAGTGCTTTGCTGGGCAGTGTTGGATTTGACAGAGTTTAGTTCAGAAAAAGTGAGGCCCTGAGCCCTAATCTGGGAGGTCAGAAAGCAGATTTTAAAGTCGATTTACCCCTTGTATTGTGACTGTCCAGGTGACCAGAGACTAGGTCAGTGCAGAATATTATAGTGCCTCCCAAATACCAGTATTTGGGGTAACTTAGCTTTTGAGAGAAGATGGGTTTCCTGCTCAGCAGTGACTGAGCATGTCCTCAGCAGGCCCTGGCATGGGGGCGGGCCTCCCTCTGTTCTCCTGGCTCCTCTCTCCCCAGGTCCAGGGGGCAGGCGTGGGCAGCTGACGTGCACGGGGACCACCAAGCCGCATCTTAGCCCCCATTAATCACTCGTTTCACCAGAGTGTCTAAGAAATGAAATCTTTTCATGAGATAATCACCTGTACACTCTAGGTAGTTTATATTAAAAGTACTGATCATTGGGGAATGTCCCAGAGGCTGTGAGAGGCTAGTGAAAGAGCTGAAAGGCTGGGTTAGACCTGTTACCCAGCACCTAACACCTGGGAGAAAGCCTCTGCTTTTTATGATGAATCTTTTACTTTGTTCCAGATTGGGATCAGACAGGTTTCATTTTTCATGGGACTCAGATTTGAATCTGAATTCAGGCCTGAGCCATTGCCTTGCTGCTGTTTAAGCATTCACCTGCACACCCCCTCCTGGGGCTGGGAGGCCACAGGGTGCCCAGGATTGAATCCAGTGGCATGGCTTCTGGGCCTGGTTGTGCCACCGACCGGCTGCGAGTAAGCGTTCCACCACGCTGGGCTCCATTCTTCCACCACAGGGTGGAGGGTGGGCCAGAGCCCTATTTTCCAAACCTGGCAGATCGCCAGACTCACCTGGCTTGCTCTTGAGTATTCATGTTCGCTGGTGCCACCTGGATATCCTGAGTCAGTAAGTTGGCTTCAGCCAAATCCAGGACTTGAACAGACCTAGTGATTCTCTTACCCAGTCAGTGAAGGACTCAGTCCCAGCAGAGCCCACTGTGGCTCCCAGCTTTGACAGTCTTTGGAGACCGCGTTCACGTTTCACAGCCTTCCGGTTATGTGCACTCCTATCAGAGCAGGAGATCTGTGTGCTGTTCTCAAGGGCCTCTGTGGTCAGCCAGCTGTGGGTTCAAAGTGAGAACATTTGCAAAAACCTGGATGGTAAACTCACCCAGTTAATTACTAATGCTTGTGGTGATGAAAATTTGACCTGGGGTATTGAAACAAAACCCTGACTGGGTGGCAGAAATTGGCTCTCGGGTGATTCGGATTAGCACCAGCTGGTCCGGATCCTCTCAGAGACCAGGTGAGTCGGGGCCCAGGAACGTGCCTGTCGTGGAGAGGCCCCGAGGCCACACAGGCTGCCCGATATACTTAGTCCTGAAGCTTTGTTCTTTCAGCCAAAGACTGGGAACGATGGTCATCCATCAGAGTATCAGAAGATTCTAGGGTGTGGGTTCCTTAACTTCGGTTTGGTCTCCCCCAATCCTGAATTGGCTTGTAAGCAAGGGTCAGGAGCCCTCATCCGGTCAGAGGTCCTCTTGACGTTTTGTCTGATCGAGTCTGGGCCTTGTTTCCTGGAACTCAGCACATGGCCGGCAGGGAGGGTGTCAGGGGCGGTTCCACTGGCACATGTGCTGGTGTCGCTTTTACTAGGAAGCCCTCAGGCTGATCCCTGCACAGAGTGCCTGGAGGCTGCCTTTCAGGGTGCAGACACAGATTGCGTCCAGCTGAGCTGTAGAAGGCCCTCATTCTGGCATGGCTCAGTGGCTCACTTCAGGATTTGGTAATGTTTATCCCTGTTTCCTCATGAGCAGCCTTTGACCTTCTTTAGAACTAGCAGGAAGATTGGGAAGGTCACAGAAAAGTGTACTTCAGGAGGGAAGGGGTCCTGTAAGAAGGCCAGGGACATACTTCTGAGACACGTGTCCCATGTGCTGGGGGAGCCTTGAGTCTGCGGCGTAACAGGTCAGCCTTAGCGCGCAGAGGCTGGTGAGGGCACGCTCAGGGCATCACGTCACACCTCTGGGAAGCAGTCAGGGACTGGGTCCTCGCTCGCAGCAGTGACTGGGTGGGTGGCTGGGACCTGCACTGCAGAGAGTGGGATGTTGGAAGAAGCCCCTCACATTAGCAAGGGCCTTTCAGATGTCCTGCTGGTCTGAACTGACCAGGAAGGTTCACGGCCTGCAGCCCAGCCATCACAGGTCAGCTGAGCAAGAGGCTGTCAAAGGCATAGGGACCCTGGTGTCCGGGATGACTGCCAGTGAGCCAGCCAAAGCTTCATTTGCCTGCCGTTGGGGCAGGAATCTGGCTTCCTGTGGTTTCTGTTCCCCTGCCCGCATTTCCAGGGAGGCACATTTTCAAGTCCGGCTCTCTTTTGTTCAGTTCCTCTCTCCCACCAGGCTCTTTCTTTGAAGCCCACTGCTGCATGCGTGCAGGCCTCATGTTCACACACCAGTCACTTCTGTTCTGTTTGAGTACGTCCATGTCCAAACCACACAATCCATGCATCTTTTTTTACTGTACTTATTAGATCTCTCTCTCTCCTTATGAAAAAGGACTTCATTTATTTTTACTTTTTATCTTTTTATTTTTGCAGTAGAAGTATATCTAACTCCATTAGCTTAAATTTTTGCAAGCATTTCTAATCTCTTACAATGTGCGGTCTCTGCAAGGTAAGGCCTCAGGTACCCCAGCCCTTTCCCTTTCACACCTGAGGTTCCACCCACCACGGCAGTGCTGACCAGCTGGCTCCCAGAGGTCAGTGGCTTCCCCCAGGGTGCTCCACCCATCAGCCTCCCTGCCAGGCACCATCCTTTCTGCACACAGTCCCCCTGCTAACCCCTGCCCCACTCCCAACCTCTTCTGCCCTATGGTTTGGAATCTCTCTCCCTGGCTCCACCTTAAGTTGAAGAGAGAATTAGAAGTGCGGCTAACCCCGTGGCCTGGCAGATGGCACTGAGCCTTAGCGGAGAGGCGGGCTCCTCTGCTACAGCCTGGGTCCCTGCCTGAGCCAGAGGATGTGCTTTGTTTACCCACAGCCCCCAAATGCCTCCCAGGCCTATTGTGATATGGCCCCAATCCCCAGCCCCCTCCCTGCTTCCACTAGACCAAAACCAGGTTGGGGGTGGCGGGGCCACTGGGCGCAGATGCAGAACTGGGACTCAAGCAGAGAAGAGAAGTGTTGCAGACCAGAGCGGGTGAGCTCACTGTCTTTTCTGCCTCCCCCAGGATCCACGCACATTCTCACCCCACAGAAACTGCTGGACACGTTGAAGAAACTGAATAAAACAGATGAAGAAATAAGCAGTTAAAAAAATAAGCTGCCCCTCCAAAAGTGAACCCTCTTCCTGCAGTGCTCCGCAGCCTCTACCACTGACCACCTTGGTTACTTTGCTGACCCTCCGTCCCTCCATTGCCTGCCCCAGCCCTGCACGCCCTGGCCAGCACTGTCGCCGCTTCATTCTTGTGTTTAATGATGCTCTCTTCTCATTTGAAACAAGAAAATAATGCATTGTGTTTTTTAAAAAGAGTATCTTCTATATATGTGTCCTAAGAGAAGTCTGTGTGTAAGGACACACTGCCGGAGAAGGTGTCAACTGTTTAGAATGAATGAGCACCTCCCCGCTAATGATTCCGTGACCTTGTACATAACCCAGCGTGACGTGCCCATGGCTTGAGTATGAGAAGGTAGATGCTTGGGTGTTTTTAAAAACCTGTTTTGAATTGTTCTTTTTTTGTGGGGAATCACAAGATGTCTGATCTTGGAGTATTTTAAACTGAGGATTAATCTGTTTTCCTCACTCTAGTTCCTACCCCTCCGTGCCTGCTCTCATCCAGATAAGCTTGGAAGGGAATATCAGGTGACATTTCATGAGTTTGAGCTGGAACCGACCTCAGTTGCTTTCCCCAGTGGCTCATTCCCCCCAGCCCCACCCCCATCCTGAGAAGCTATTTTTGTGACCAGGCACCCCCCCCCTAAGCAGCAACCCACAGAGCTCCTGGGTAGCACTCTGGAGCCGGGGATGGGCTCGCCCAGAATGGGGCCTGCGGGCTCTGCTCACGGGGCGCTTGCCAGTAGGGGAGGATGACTTCAGGCCCCCTGAGAACAGCCCATTGGATCTCTACAGACTGTTCTGTTCACATTGCCCTCAGTTTAAGATACTCTCTAATGCTCTATTTTGTGTGGGGCGGGGTCATATGTCGTCGTGCTTATAAGAAAAAATGATCATTTTATTCTCTGTTTAAAAACTGAGCTCTATAAAACTTAGCTCTAAAGCAAAAATTAAGCAAATACAGGAAGGATTGTCTCATCATCCTCGACTCAGCAGCTGTCTGTTCTTGGGTAGGGAGTGCACTCTGTTCTGCTGCTGTTGCGAAATGTAATGACAGTGGAAGTCACAAAAATGTCCCCTGCCCAGCCCCCTGCAGACCGTGTGAATATCACCCCCTGGTGTCATTGCCCGCGTGGTGTGTGCTCGTTGGCGCGGCCCCGCCTTCCTCTCAGAAGCCCCCGCCCCTCGGCTAAAGGCATTGTGGTGTTCTTCCCAAGGCTCTGAAATCTCCCCTTTGCACTCTAGTCTCTGGGCTGTTCTCTCTTCTCCCTCGTCCCCCTCAAGACACCCCACCCTGAGGCCCAAGCTGTAGGCACTCGCATCGGTTCGTTTCTGCCTGTTCCCGCCTGTTTGTCCCCTTGACCAGACAATGCTCCTGCTTCAGCACCTGTTCGTCAAACACGTTGGTTTTCCTTTCTCTGTTATTGATATAAAAGTAATTCATCAAAAGGATATTTTAAAAAAGCTAGTCTGTCTTGAAACTTGTTTACCTTGAAATTATCAGAATCTCAGTGTTTGAAAGTATTGAAGCACAAACATGTACAACCTCTGTACCGTCTGTACTAAAGCACTCGAGTCTAATAAATCAGTCAGCGCCCATTCACAGGGTCCAGGGGACGCCCAGTGTGGTTTATTTTGGGGAGTGGAAGGGGAAAGCTGCTGCAGTGGCCCACTGCAGGGGAGACCAGCCACCACGGCCGTGGTTTGGGGTCCTCTGGACCCAGGTCACCGTGCCGTGTGTTAGGCTGTAACGCGGTCACATCCCAGGATGGTGCATGAAGTTTGTCTTGGGAGCCGAACAGCACCAGGGCACTGCCTGCAGCTGAGGTGGTTCTTCCATCCTGTATGTCCCTCTATCCTGGACACCGCAGGGCTCTGGGCTGGCAGATGCTTCCTACTGGAGCGTGTGGGGACAGCCTATGGAGGGCATGAGGTGAGGTCACTTTATCAGTGTCACTGCTCTCCTCTGTCCCTGCCGCCACACCATCCAGCCTCCTAATGAACTTTCCAGATCAGAAGCTGGTGCGCATCCTGCTGGACTGGAAGCCTGTTTGAAATCTGGGGAGACAGGAGTTTGGCCCAGTTTGGGGAGGGGGCCCCGTAGGTTAGGACTGGAGGCACACTGGAAACCTACTACAATATGGGGCACAGGGGAGGGAGTTCTTTGTAGAAACTCTTGTTTCTGTTCTTTGGTCACCAGTCACTCTCATTCAAGTCTCCCTCTTAGCATCAAGATCTAACCACTCACGGCCAGTGGGGGGACGTCACAGCACTGCCGGGCCAGCATCTGTGAGGTGTGCCTGACGGGGAAGTAGTAACGGTGACCGCTCCTGCTGCTTGTCAGACTTTGTCTGCGGGGTGACCCCCTCCCCATTTTACGATGAGGAAGCCCAGGCTCAGAGGCCGAGACTCAGAGAGATGCAGTGACACAGAGCCCACTTCAGCTGGGGAGTATCAGACACCCATTGCCTTATATCAGTAGTTGCTGCACCCATAGGCCAGAATGCCTCGGAGTGAGGTCTAAGATGGTGATTCCCATTCATCCAACACCAAATGTTACGGTGTCCTTTTTACCTACATATATGTATAACAATAACAATATTATACACAGCAGTAATAGTAGTGTAACTTCATTCAGGTTCCTGGACCTGATTCCAATGTGTGTAAGTATGTGGGAAGGGGTCTTCCCACACATACTAACAGCACACCAGCAGGGTGTTGGAGAACTCACTTCTGATGCTACCTTCGCAGAGACAGCACCAGGGTCCACAGGTTAAGGGCTCTGTCCTACAAGACTGCCCTTCACCCCCTACTCCGGACACCAGTCTCAAGCTCCAGGCAGTTACCTGTTCTTCTGACCTGTTGGCTACAGATTGGAGGTTCCCACGACCTCCCCCTTAGGTTCAATTACTTTGTTAGAGCAGCTCACGGAACTTAGGAAAACACTGTTTTCCAGTGTAAGGATACCATAAAGGATTCAAGTTAACAGCCAGATGAAGAGCCATGGGGCAAGGTCCCAAATAAAAGAGCTGTCCTTGCAGAGCTTGGGGCCTGGCCCGGTGGCCCCTGGAGGCGTTCCGGCTCCCCAAGCATAGAAAGCTCCCTCCGAAGGAGAAGCAGGATCCAGCGGAGCAGGGAGGGCACCGGAAGCTCTTCTCCAGGGCTTTCGTGTGGGCTTCATTGCCTAGTCGGGATTGACTAAATCATTGGCCACTGGCTGATTCAGCCTCCAGCCCCCACCCTTAGGTGGGGTCCAAAGTCATTTGCATGACAAAACACCTTTTTCACCTTTAAGACCACAGTGTTCTCAGAAACTGGATGAAGAACCACATATACCTGGGAAATACATATTTGGCCCTATGAATGACCAAATATGTATTTCTTACAACATTATATTACAGAAGGGAATTACTAGATTCTGAATTGTTCTAAACTGAGTTTACATTAAAGCAAAGTCCGTGCCGTTAGCCTTTTCGTCCCAGGGCCATCATGTCCCCCAGGCCCATCATAGCGGCTTGCTAGTGTCTCCGTCTCCCTGATTATTTCTGACAAACTTTGACCCAGGGTTTCCGACACCTCTCTCCCTTCCACACCCTCTCTCCAGCACCGGATGACACACAAGCCCGGCCCTTTAAGCCCCTGGCAGAAGTCCTATTGTGTGTTTCACGGTACACAGGAAGCCATCTCTCCAAAAAGTCTGATGGGGTTAGGTATTCCTGGAGGGGCAGGTGGTTCTGAAACAAACCAAAGCTGAATCGGTAACTGGGCAATCCTAAACCACCACAGATCTGTGCAGCCAGGGTCTCACACTCCAGGCTGCCTTTCCAGGGTCTCACATCCAGGCTGGGGGGCTTAGCCAGACCCCAGTGAGGGGCCTGTACACCGCCTTGGTGTGACACAGGACATGCACTCCTGGGAGGCAGAATGGCAGAGTGACTGGGAGCACGGGCCTCTGGCAGGCAGGCCTGGTGGAATCCATCATCAGCCTCATCCCTGGTACCTCGATGAGGACTGTCTCCTGAGGGGTGCCTGTGGGGGACAGATGCCAAGCTGGCCCCTGGGGAGCACAGACCCTCAATCAGTGTCAGTGGAGATGATGATGATTCCCAACCAAGTCTGGGGAAAGAAGAGTAAATATGCTTATACACTGGAAAGAAAACCAAGTGTGTCCATCAACAAGAGAATGGGTAAATTGTACATTCACCCAATGACTAAGGTGGTTAAAAAGGCATGACCTTCATATATGAATAAATCTCAAAAACTTTATGTTGAGTGAAAAGAGCAAGTTATGGGAAGATATATATAGAATGCATTTTTGTAATGTTTTTAAACCTCATAAAAAGCACCATAAAATGTTTATGGCTACATATGTTGTAAATGTGTACAAAAACATGTATAAGAATGATAAATATACCCAAGTCAGAATAATGGCTGCCCAGGAGGGTAGATGGTTTTTGTATTACCTTATATCCTCTATCACTAATGAATCAGTGGCTTAAAAGGACTACACTGCATCAAAAAAATATAGATTAAAATTCTTGTAGTTAATATATGTTGAACACTTACTATGTACCAGGCATGAATGTGTGGTATGTATCTTGCTGAATCTTCTCAACAATTCCAGGAGTTAGATGTCATTATAACCCTACTTACAGATGGGGAAACAAAGGCACAAAGATAGTGTAACTTGCCAAGGTCTCCTGGTTGGCACATGGCAGAGCCTGGATTTAAACACAGAAGTCTGACTCCAGAAACCATGTTTTCTATATCAGAAAAATGTTACCAACATAGATGACAGGATTCTGGTGTGAATATAGCACGTGAGTCTGTATGGGCTGGAACTAATGACTTCAAGAATGATTATTTTACATAAGTAACCAAAAAAAAGAAGAATGGAACTAAAGATGTAGAACAATAAAAATTGGATCTTCTGCTCCAGCAAGCTACACCTCCCTGGTTCCCCATGCATCACCTGTTATGAAGGAACATTGTCACAAGGAGCAGATGAACACATTGAGACATTTCTGTCAATTTCAAATGAAGCTCAGTGACCACCTCCATAAGCCAAGCAAACTCCCCCATGCTAACCACAAAAGAATACATTCTAGACTCAAACTGATGAATTCCATCCTTAAAGGTTGGGAAGAAACCCAAACAACAGGGCCAGCAATTAGAGTTATACTCCTTGGAGAAAAAGTTTCCCCAGTCATAATATTGCCAAGAAGCTAATAAAAACCAGCCACTGTTATTCAGCCATAAGAAGAAAACAAATCCTACCATTTGCAACAACATGGATGGAGCTAGAGGGTATTATGCTCAGTGAAATAAGCCAGGCGGAGAAAGACAAGTACCGAATGACTTCACTCATGTGGAGTATAAGAACAAAGAAAAACTGAAGGAACAAAACAGTAGCAGAATCACAGAACCCAAGAATGGACTAACAGTTACCAAAGGGAAAGGGACTGGGGAGGATGGGTGGGAAGGGAGAGATAAGGTGGGTGGGGAGAAAGGGGGCATTACGATTAGCATGTATAATGTGGGGGGGCATGGGGAGGGCTGTGCAACACAGAGAAGACAAATTGTGATTCTACAGCATCTTACTATGCTGATGGACAGTGACTGTAATAATGGGGTTTATGGGGGGGACATGGTGATGGGGGGAGTCTAGTAAACATAATGTTCCTCATGTAATTGTAGATTAATGATACCAAAAAAAAAAACAAAACAGCCACTGTTGACCTCCAGCATCTTTTGAGCAAATGACACTGTTGACTAGTGGAAACTCTCATTTAGAAAGTGGAAAATGATTTGGAAGAACAGTTGTCAACACACATGCTTCCCTTTCCAACTGAATCAAATAGTGATGAGCAGAGTTGAGTTCCCTCTTGTCAAAAGGGCTGATCGCTGACTTGTGTCAAGGGAAGGTGCTCAGATAAGTCTTGTTCTCTTTATCAGAATCCCATGCTCTGATGACACAAAAAGCTCAGGCAACAAAAGAAAAAATAGATAAATTGGACTACATCCAAATTGAAGATTCCTGTGTATCAAAGGACACAACCGAGTGAAAAGCAAGCCCATGGAATTAGGGAAAGAACATTTGTGCATATCATAAATCTGGTAAGGGGTTAATAGCCAGAATATATAAAGAGCTCTTACAACTCAATAACAAAAAGTCAAAATGGCCAAATCAAAAATGGGCAAAGGACTTGAATATGTATTTCTCCAAATGACCAATAACACATGAAAAGATGCTAAACTTCACTAATCATTAGGAAGATTAAATCAAAACACAATGAGATACCACCTCGCACCCATTAGGATGGCTACTGTCAAAACAACAGGGATAACAAGTGTTGGCCAGGATGTGGAGAAACTGGAACCCTTGTACCATGTTAGTGGGAATGTGAAATGGTGCAGCTGCTGTGGAAAACAATATGAGGGTTCCTTAAAAAATTAAGAATAGGATTACCATGTTCTGATTCTGCACCCAATTCCAATGTGTGGGTTTTTCCCCCCATCACCAAGTAATTCTCTGACACCAACCAAGTGTCCTACAATTCAACTCAATTCTGACACTATCCACCTGAGATAGCATCAGACCCCACAGGTTGAAGGCT